GAAGGGGGGGGGAGGTCGTGCTCCTGCCAGCCATCCCTGGTGGTCCTCGTGGTAAGTGAACTCTAGCCCTTTGGGGCTAGAGATCACTCTCGCGAGACCCGGCCGGTTGCCATAGCAATGGTCCGGATCTCGCGAGAGAAACCCGGCGGAGCTGCAAGTTAGAGCTCCGCCGGGTCCTCTCTCCAGGATAGCTCTATCCCCTCCTCTCTCCCCGCCGGCGGCCGCGTTTGAGAGCATGTGGGCCGGTGAGGGAGATCTTTGATCTCCCCACCGGCCCTTCATGGAACACAGCGGGGCCGGCACTCGGATAGCGCCGGCCCTGCATAGACCGGCAGGGGATGTCCTGTGACCTCCCCTGCCGGCCTCGGCCCATGGCCACCGTGGCCCACTGGGCATTTGCCCGGTGTGCCCGATGGCCAGTCCGGGCCTGCAAGGGAGTATAGTAATTATAGCAATCCCCAGAGTGAATATAGCTCTCCAACCCCCAAACATGAGCCTAGACTTCATGAAGGGTAAAATGAATATGTTCACAACAGGCCTTTTATGGCAGTCTCCATGCAAAGGGCACTCCCCCCTGGTCCTGAGAGTAAACCACAGTAGAAACAAATACACAATCACACTGGCTCTCAGGTCCAGGACACTCCAATACAAAATAGGTTAATCCCTCCCCAATACCTGGGAGATAATTGAGTCAAGCACTATACTAAACTCAATTATCTCCAAACACAAAAAAAACACACATTTTTACAAAAACCCCAAAATAACTTAAAACACACAAAACCCCCACAAAAGTTACATCCACTGATAGCCGTGATCTGGGTGACCAACATATCCAAAATCACCCAGATCAGTTCAGGAACTTCCTGGAAATATTATTTTTGACTGACCGCACGCATGGTCCCTTGCCAAAAAACAGTTCCAGAGAATCAGGGCTTGCGGTCGGTCTAATTAGGTAGTTTGGAAAAAGAACAAACTACTGAACATAGTCAATGTTCTTACCCTGGAGCTTGTCCTCCTCATCCAGACGAACTATTTCACCAAACAGTGCCCTTTTAAATTGTATAGAACCGAGCGCAGACGATGATGGAAGTCCAACGGTGTTCGGGAGTTTGTGTCCGATTTTAGTTCCATGAGATTCATGCCCAAACACCGCTGCCTCTGTTCATGCGAACAACATGGCTGCCACCTTGTGGTTGTCCATCGGAATTGCGGACACCCAGATGAACAATTAGAACACTGTGGTGAGAACCGTACCAAGGTGTTAATAGGTGTTTACAAGCATCCGGGTGGTCCTTGGTACATGCTGTTGTTCGGTAGTCTAACGGGACAATGTTAGAATAGGAGGGGAATGCAATCTACCAAACAGAATAGCAAAAAGGCACAAACAAGGTTCTTTTATGAGCCTTTTTGCATGGCCCCTAGTACTGGCAAACAGGCCCCTCCAAGAACAGGTGACGAGACTTAGTTCGTCACATACCTCAGCAAGGGGAGTAAGGTTTTTGAATGTGATAAATGACACCTTATGTCACAACTGGTACAAGCACCAACTAGAAAGTATGCTTGTCTGGATCTAGTTATAACAAACAATGTTGATCTTTTGACCAACATTCAAGTAGGGGAGCATTTGGGAAATAGTGATCACAATATGGTAATTTTTTTAATAAACTCAAAAAAGTAAAAGCACATGGGGTATACTAAAACGTATAATTTTAAAAAAGCCAATTTCAATAAGATTAGGGCAGCTCTACAACATATCGACTGGCATAAACCCCTTAGTAAAAAAAAACCACTGAGGATAAATGGAAACTCTTTAAACAAATATTAGAAAGGTACATTTCTCAGTATGTACCATTGAGTAATAAACATAAAAGAAACAAATTGAAACCAATGTGGCTCAGTAGAGAAGTAAAACAAGAGATTAAAAATAAGAAAAGGGCATTTAAAGCATTTAAATCTGAGAAACCAGAGGCATCCTATATAAGATCTAAGGAAGCCAATAATGCTTGCAAAAATGCAATTAAAGTGGCTAAACTAGAAAATTTGAAATTGTTAGCCAAAAAATGAAAACCAACTCCAAAATTTTTTTTCAGTACATCAATTCTAAAAAAAATTTTTTAAAAAGGAAAGTGTAGGTATACTGGAAACAGAGATGGGTCTGTTAGTTAATGAAGACCAGGAAAAGGCAGACATTTTAAATAACTATTTTTCTTAAGTATATGTTAATGAGGATCCTATGGCAAGAGATATGCAAATGATTGCTGCAAAAAACTTGAAGATAATTGGTGATTGGATGACTCGACACAAGGTGCTACAGCAATTAAAGAAAATGAATGTAAATAAAGCTCCGGGGCCTGACGGTATTCACCATGGAACCAATTTGAAACGCTTCAGACTGTTTTTTTTGCCTTCTTTTGGATCAACAGCAAAAACATATGTGAGGAAGGCTGAACTTGACGGACGTAAGTTTCTATTCAGCTATGTAATTATGTAATAGATAGATAGATTGATTCTCGATTCAGTCAACCTGTGCAACAGATATAGAATGCCAGTTTGGAACAAGTATTCAAGTAAATAAGATTTAGTTAGTAAATGAGTCCCAGGGCAGAGTTGAAAAAGGTGGTCTTGACATATTTGTCGCTTTTTTTCTTAACCTTTATGGCTTGGTTCTCAGTTTAACAAATTTTTTGTTTACTGAATTTACATTTGAAAGATAATGAAATGAGAAATACAATTTAAGACTAATTAGAATAACTGTATGTGTGGAGGTGGAAAGAGATCAGATACAGGAAAAAAATATTTTAAGTTGAGAAACTGAGCAATTCATTGACAGACAGAACAGTGACTAAAGCTCAGAAAGATGACACTGATTTGGAGATATTTTGGAGTTTAATTTTAGATTAACATACAATATGTATAGAATATGTATTCATTGTGAACCCATTTGATATTTCTTATAAAAAGCTTATCCTCTCAATTTCTGGATCATTGGTCCTTAGTTGTGAAATCATGGTGATAAGATTATGTGATGTCATAAAGGCAACAACTGATGGAACATTCTATTTGCTCCATATTTGAGGCTTTGAGTTATGTGAGGCTTTGAGTTGATCACAATAGATCTAAAAAAGGATTATTTTTTTTTTCCTTTTTTTTAATTTATAGGTAAGTCCATTATGTATGAAGCCAAGTACGATAGTCAGGGCCAGATTAAGAGCCCAGTGGGCCTGGTGCTAACAATTATGATAGGCCTAATTACAGAATCATATCGACCAAAAACAGTAAAACACTCCCAAGCATCATGTATCTGATGGAGATGGTGCTGGAGAGAAAGAAAACAGCAGCTATAAGAAAGGCTAATCTCTCTCTAATTTATGTTTTCATCTTTCAAGGGCTAACAGCAGTGTCCAGTCAAGCAGGAAGTCAATGGGCATGGTAAAAGGGTGTGCCACTGACACAAATCATGTAATCACGTAACCTGCCAAAAGGGGCGAACATGCCCAAAAAGAGGACATGTCTGCTCAAAGAATTAGAAGGCCAGCCTGGCATGAATGCATGTCAGGCTGCCTGGCATGAATGCATGTCAGGCTGCCTGCCAATCATGCAGCTGGCCAACTAAGGGCATACTATGCAGACAGCACCCTGAGCTTGGCATAAATGCATCTAATGATGCGCTCACTCAATGCTTTCTAAGGACTGTCCCCTAGCACTCGCTGGTCCACTTGTCTCCTTACCTTCTTACTAGCAGGCAGAAGCTCCTGGTATATGGTTTGGGACAGAGAAAAGCTGTATGTAGTGAGTAGAAGAAAGGGAACATGCCACAGTGTTAGAGAGACCAAAGTCAGCATTACCTTAAAGGATCACTATAGGGTCAGGAACACATGTATATTTTAAGTTTCAACCTTTATACAGTGGATTTGTTCTGCTTACAAGTATCGGTTTCAGATAGGAGAGGTGTGGGTGTTTCGGTCATTTGTCCATCTCTAAAGTCTTGATGTGTGTGGTGGTTTCGTGGATTGCGTTATGTGCCTGCTGTTATGTGGTTCTAGTCTTGTAGGCTCAGGCCTTATGTTGTTACGTGGGGTTTGTAGGCTCCTAAGTAGTGTGGTCAAGTAGAATTGCGTGTGGGTTAATAGGTCGGTTTCTTTGTTGCTGCGTGGATGTGCTGAGTGGGAGTTGGGGGGGGGAGAGGAAAGGGGAGGTGCCCTAGTAGTGTCTAGGTGGTATCCCGAGGCACTGGTGTTTCCTAGTGTGGGTGTCTCCTCAGGGTGTGAGCGATGTCTTTTGTGGGTCAGGTGGGTAGTCGGTTGAGTATGTTATATGCTCTTTTGGAACTTTTTCGATGAATATGTGTTGACTTTTTAGCGTGCCATGTTAGATTCTATGTTTTGGTGCATTGTGGGTGATCCTTGAGGGTCATGGGTTTGTTAGATGTGTAGCATTATGTGTTTTATCTGTTGTCTCTGGGGTGGGAGGAAGGTGGTTGGGGGTGTGAGTGTTGGGTGCGTGGTTATGGTCGGAGGGAGTGGGGGTGAGTGGCTTATGTCTGGGGGTGGCTCATGGGTGGTTCAATCGGGTTGGTCGTTCTTTTTTGAGTCTCTTTTTAGACCCAGAGTTGGCGCCCTATTATCCATGGGTCCCAGATTTTGTGATAGTGGTTGGTCATGTTGTGTAGGAGGGCCGAGAGTTTGTCCATTTCCATGGTTTTGGTTGTTTTTTGGAGCATCGTTGTCAGGATGGGGGTGGTCTGGTTTCCCCATTGTTCTGCTATTGTGCATCTTGTGGACAGGGCTAATTTAGCTACCAGTTTGTTTTGTGCTCATGTGAGGTGGGGGGGGGGAGGGGGGTGAGGTTTAGAAAGGAGCCATATCCATGGGTTCTTAGGTATGTCCAGGGCCGGATTAACATAGGGGCTGATGGAGCTGCAGCTCCAGGCCCAGGCCCATGGAATAGGCCCATTGATTTAAAAATATATATATTTTTTTTTTTTTTTACACACTACTCTTAGGGATTCCACCTGGCTTTTATTTTATTGGCACAGCCAGTGTTTGAGGCTGCCTGGCTGGTGCCAATTGCAGTGATACTGGCAATACAAATGCTGGTATTTTTCTCAGTATAAACAAGAGATTACTATGCAATAGTAGGGGTCGCTGTGTGTGGAGACAGGCAGGGATAGGAATTTCCAGCATATCCGTCCCTGCCTATCTATATTCAATGATCTGTAGGGGTGCAGCTACAGATAGTCCAGACAGAACTCCCACCCTCAGGGAAGTGAGGGATGGGGGAAAGGCTGCAAGGAGACATACACTGGGACACTGGGAGACATTATGGCAGACACAGACACTAAGGGGCACTGGGAGACATTATGGCAGACACTGAGACACTAAGGGACATTGGGAGACATTATGTTAGACACTGAGACACTAAGGGACATTGGGAGACATTATGTCAGACACTGAGACACTAAGGGACACTGGGAGACATTATGGCAGACACTGAGACACTAAGAGGCACTGGGAGACATTATGGCAGACACTGAGACACTAAGGGACACTGGGAGACATTATGGCAGACACTGAGACACTAAAGGGCACTGGGAGACATTATGGCAGACACTGAGACACTAAGGGACAGTGGGAGACATTATGGCAGACACTGAGACACTAAGGGACATTGGGAGACATTATGGCAGACACTGAGACACTGGGAGATATTATTGCACACAATGAGACACTAAGGGGCGTTGGGAGACATTATGGCAGACACTGAGACACTAAGGGGCACTGGGAGACATTATGGCAGACACTGAGACACTAAGGGGCATTGGGAGACATTATGGCAGACACTGAGACACTAAGGGACATTGGGAGACATTATGACAGACACTGAGACACTAGGGGACACTGGGAGACATTATGGCAGACACTGAGACACTAGGGGGCACTGGGAGACATTATGGCAGACACTGAGACACTAAGGGGCATTGGGAGATATTATGACACAGACACATGGGGACACAGTGTCCCCATGTCTCCCAGCCAGTGTCCCTGGTGTCTCAGTGCCCCCTTGTCTCCCAGTGACCCCTAGTCTCCCAGTCTGCCAGTGTCTCACTGTCTCCATGTCTCCTAGTGCCTCCATGTCTCTCATTGCCTAAAGTGTCACAATGTCCCCATGTCTCCAAGCTAGTGTCTGTGGGCCTGGTGTCTCAATGTCCCCATGTCTCAATGTCCCCCAGCCAGTGTCTCTAGTTTCTGTGTCCCTGGTGTCTGTGTCCCCATGTCTTCAAGTGTCCCCTATTTTCCCATTGTCCCCATGTGTCCCAGCCAGAGTCCCCTAGTCTTCCAGTGTCACTTGTGTCTCCATGTTCCCCAGGTCTCCCCATCTTCCTAGTGACATGGGGACCCTGGGATACATGGGGACACAGGGAGACATGGGGCATTGAGACACTGTGATACATAGGATCACTGGGAGACCTGGGGACACGACATTAGGGGACACTGGGAGACATGGGGCACTGAGACACTGATACATAGGAACACAGACTTGGAGTAATCGACACATGGGGGCACTGAGTCATGAGGGCACTGGGAGACATGGGGGCACTGGGAGGAATCCATCTATACAGCAGAATCAAACTAATAGTTTTTTGGGTGATTTTACAGCATTTTCTCTTATGTCACTCCTTTTTTTTCCAAGAAAGGTGGCAACCCTAACTACTTTTCACATACTCTTACTTAAGTATGGAAACTTAAGTGGGATGTATGGGAACAAAACTTGTGTGGACTGGGTGACAATGAATATAGTTAAAGGGACACTAAAGTCACCAGAACAACTACAGCTTATTGAATTTGTTCTGGTGAGTAGAATCATTACCGTCAGGCTTTTTGCTGTAAACACTATCTTTTCAGAGAAAATGCAGTCTTTACATTACATCCTAGTGATAACTTCACTGGCCACTCCTTAGATGACTGTTAGAGATCCTTCCTGGGTCATGGCTGCCTAAAATGCATCCAAACATCCAGTGTCTCCTCCCTCTGCATGCAGACACGGAACTTTCCTCATAGAGATTCATTAATTAAATTCATCTATATAAGGAGATGCTGATTGGCCAGGGCTGTGTTTGAATCATGCTGGCTCTGACCCTGATCTGCCTCTTTGTCAGTCTCAGCCAATCCTATGGGGAAGCACTATGATTGGATCAGGCCACCACTTCTAATGATGTCAGCAGACTGCTTGTTTTTATGAGTCTAGCATGCAGAGTTACAGCTTCGGGCTTGAATATAGTAAGATTTTGCTACATTTATGAAGACATGAGGGGACCAGGGGGGCTAGATGGTGGTGTTAACACTATAGGGTCATGAATTCATGTTTGTTTTCCTGACCCTATAGTGATCCTTTAAGGTAATGCTGACTTTGGTCTCTCTAACACTGTGGCATGTTCCCTTTCTTCTACTCACTACATACAGCTTTTCTCTGTCCCAAACCATATACCAGGAGCTTCTGCCTGCTAGTAAGAAGGTAAGGAGACAAGTGGACCAGCGAGTGCTAGGGGACAGTCCTTAGAAAGCATTGAGTGAGCGCATCATTAGATGCATTTATGCCAAGCTCAGGGTGCTGTCTGCATAGTATGCCCTTAGTTGGCCAACTGCATGATTGGCAGGCAGCCTGACATGCATTCATGCCAGGCTGGCCTTCTAATTCTTTGAGCAGACATGTCCTCTTTTTGGGCATGTTCGCCCCTTTTGGCAGGTTACGTGATTACATGATTTGTGTCAGTGGCACACCCTTTTACCATGCCCATTGACTTCCTGCCTGACTGGACACTGCTGTTAGGGGTTATGGATTTACTTGAAAGATGAAAACATAAATTAGAGAGAGATTAGCCTTTTTTTATAGCTGCTGTTTTCTTTCTCTCCAGCACCATCTCCATCAGATACATGATGCTTGGGAGTGTTTTACTGTTTTTGGTCGATATGATTCTGTAATTAGGCCTGTCATAATTGTTAGCACCAGGCCCACTGGGCTCTTAATCTGGCCCTGGGTATGTCCTCGTGGAGGACCCTAGAGGGAGGTTGGTGACCGCTGTCCATAATTGAGAGCTTTGTGGGCAGTCCCACCACATATGAATGTATGTGCCCTGCTGGCTGCATGCCTTCCAGTAGGTGTCCGTCAGCGTATGTCCCATTTGTTTTAATCTCTGGGGTGTGAGGTACCAGCGTAGCATTGTTTTGCATGCTTACTCCTTGTGGTTTGCGCATATTGTGAGTGATGCTGTAGCTTCCCATATGTCCGGCCAGTCTGTGGGGCCTATGTCCCTTTCCCAGGCTTTTGTGTATGTGAGTGCATCTGCTGGGGAGTAAGAGCTCAGGAGGGTGTAGATCGTAGATATCTGTCCTTTGTGGATGGGTGTTTGTAGGCAGGTTCTTTCGAATGGTGTGAGTTTTATGTTGGCAGTTACTGTATGCTCTATGCTTCTTTTGTGTTGTCAAGAAAGTAGGACATGACCCGAATATTGGAGTTGTCCCACCAAAATCAAGAAAGTTGGCAGGCCTAAGGCCTCTAGGAGCCATGTGAAAAAAAATCTTCACAGTGCCTCTCCCTGACCACACCCACTCATTCAGAACCTCCTACTATTTAAAACCTCCCATTCCTCTTAACCTCAAAACAAACAGATTACAAAGCATTAAGTGGATATATTTTTTTACTCACAGTTATTAAACTTGTAAGTGCAATACAACTTGTTGTATCAGCTTATATTATTATAATGGAGCCGCAACACATATAACTAAATGCCAGCCCAGATGATACTTTGAAAACTGAACTCTTCTTGGACTTTATATCTGACAAAAATGGACAGGACCTAATCTAGGAGTTCCCATTTGCAGTGATATTTGCATGAGTGTAGGTTCTTTTGTGTTTTATGTAAGTTGTTTTTAATTTTAAGAACTCTTTATTTTTGTTTTGGCAAATTATTTGGCGAGACTGGTGATGAGACTTTGTGATCAGCACATAAATCTGTATTCAGAGGGGTATTCCTTCAACGAGCTTCCCAGCTTAAGCATAAAGCCCAGGTAGAACAAATATGTTATTGAAAAATTGCCCAGGTCTATTCTCGACATAAGAGTAACCCTCCTCCTGCGTAGCTTCCAAAATAGGCAAATTGCGTCTAAACACAGAAAAAAGTATTTACCTACACAAACTGAAAGTCACTTCCTATCATGCACATTGCAAAACAGGGGAGCTTCTAGCTCTGAGGGACAACATGAGGCTGAGTTGCAGGCGACTGGCTGGGAATTTCCCAAATTCTATGTAAACTTGGAAGAGCATTCGCTTACTCCTAAGCCTACCATACAGGAGATTTCAAATTACTTATCTAAGATAGCCCTACCAAAACTAAATTCCCAACAAGCAGCTGACCTAGAAAGCTCTACCCAAAAAAAGAAATACGGCATGTTATTCAAAACTTATCTTCTGCTAAGTCCCTGGTTCCAGATGTTTTTTTGGCCCAATATTATAAAAAAAAGAATTTGCGGGGTTGAGAGGAGCAGAGTAAACGACCAGACGTGTCTGTGCAGAGCTCCTGCTGCAAAGACTGAGAAAACAGCCAAAAAGCCACGAAAAAGAGCAGTAACAGTGCTAATTCGCAACCCATACCTCCAACATAACGATGGGACGCAAGCACCGCAAACTAGCCTACACAGAGGACCTCCATCAGGCAGATATCCGCAGGTCCTTCGATAGGCCGTGGCCTCAGGCCCAGACCAAGATGGCCCCCAGCAGACCCCTCAGACGATTCGGAGGGGGAGGAAGACGCGGTGGCCCCGCAGACAAACAGCAGCATACACCAGAAGACGGACTCAGACACTGACACATCCCCATCCACCAAAGGGGACATTAAACGCCTGCTTCTGGACCTGCGGACGGTTTGGAAAGCCGACCTTGCAGGGATACAAACAGAGATCGGCACCCTGACTCACCGCTTGGAGGAGGTTGAATCTCGAGAGGGCGATAGAGACGGCCGACTAGCGGAGACCCAAACACAAGTGACCACCATGTCACTACAGATTGAGAGACTCTCAAAAACGGTCGCTTCCCTGGAAGCCAGGCACCGCAGAAGGAATATCAGACTCCGAGGAATACCGGAGTCCGTGAACCCAGATGCCCTGATGGACTTTGTTACCAAGGTGGCTGGAACACTGGGGGTACGGGCTGAAAAGGGAGAGCAGCCTTTGATATCGGTGTTTCGGGTCCGGAAGGCCCCCACCGCCCCTGCGGACGCTCCACGAGACGCCATTGTGATCACACGGGACGTCTCCATCAAGACGACCCTCCTATCTCGCTCCAGAAACCAGGCCGCTGTGACCGTGGAGAATCACCAAATAAAGCTATTTGACGACTTACCTTTTACGGTTCTGGCAGAAAGGCGCAGATTCCAACCGATCACCAGGGCCTTGAGAGATCACGGCTTCCGATACAGATGGGGAGCATCTGGAACACTGGTGGTACCCCACGGAGACTCGGTGCTGGCCCTCTCGGCGGGAGAAGATCCCACCAGGCTCCTCCACACGCTGGGGCTGCCTGCAATTACACCGCACCCTAGGAGTACAGCAGATCCCGGCCAGATCGGAGCACCCTCAAGCAAGACCCCCCATAGACGGACAGCAGAGAACTGTTCAGGCTACCCACTATGGGGTATTAAACCCTTTGACCACAAGTTATAATTCCATAGGCACTCGAGAATGTATGTTCACCATATATTAATGCAAAGACGACATAAATGTATATAGTTAGCTGGGTATTCATAGCAATGTTGTCGTACAATTGGGGGTACTGTTTGTTCTCCCACCTCTTAAGGGGTGCCTAGTCAGAGACATTACGTACTACTATCGCTGCGTCCCTGAAACAATGGCTACATTCAAGGGAATCACTGTTAAATCCATTCACCCCTTTGCCCTCACACGCCAATATGACACAGCACAACAATGGGAAGCCCTTTACTTAGATTGATCTGCTAACGATGAGATAAAATGCATGTTTTGGGGGGCATAAAAGTAGAGGCATCCTCTTAACTATGTCCCTGCATATTTGGGCACTAAGCTAAGCGCAGACACTAAACGTATTTACTGGCGCTGACACTAAAAAGTGCATAGCATTACAATCCAACCGCACTAACTCAGAGTCTATGGAAATCCCGTGGCACTAGTGCTTAATATACAGTGCTGCCTAGTTTCATTGATGTGGCAAGGGCAGAGTTATCTTATAATAAAGCGTCTACTACAGCTTAGAGGTTAACTTTTACATAATTTCATGCGGACAAAGAAGAAATCAGATTTCAGGGCACCTGAGTTTAACAGCAAGATACCTATAGTCTCTACAATAGCTGACATATGAACCCTTTGGGATCGATCTCCTGTTTATTTTTATGTTATTTGGCACCTGCATAATCCTACAGGCTAAGTTCATATTTTTCTCTTTATCTATTTCCTTTTTT